ATGAGTGAAATCATTTGGTACTTGTCTTTCTCTGCCTGGCTTATTTCACTGAGCATAATACCCTCTAGCTCCATCCATGTTGTTGCAAATGGTAGGATTTGTTTTCTTCTTATGGCTGAATAATATTCCATTGTGTATATGTACCACATCTTCTTTATCCATTCATCTACTGATGGACACTTAGGTTGCTTCCATTTCTTGGCTATTGTAAATAGTGCTGTGATAAACATAGGGGTGCATATATCTTTTTCAAACTGGGCTGCTACATTCTTAGGGTAAATTCCTAGGACTGGAATTCCTGGGTCAAATGGTATTTCTATTTTTAGTTTTTTGAGGAACCTCCATACTGCTTCCCACAGTGGTTGAACTAATTTACATTCCCAACAGCAGTGTGGGAGGGTTCCCTTTCTCCACCACCTCGCCAACATGTGTTGTTGTTTGTCTTTTGGATATTGGCCATCCTAACTGGTGTGAGGTGATACCTCATTGTGGTTTTAATGTCTATATTCATTTTGAAAAGCAACAAAACACAAGGTAACAGGTCTGCCATTTGTCCCATTTTGATTCTCCTTAATCCTAAAGAAGGCTCCTTCAGAATGTCAGAACCCATGAAGATACTAAATATAACCCACAAAGATACTAAATATAAACAAGTCATTTTTGTCCATTAGCGCAAAGCAGGATTTCTTAAGCCCCTTTGCTCAGAAAACTAGTTCTAAGAGATATTAATAAATACACCACAAAATCAAGATTTTTCAAACGAAATAAGTTTGGAGGCATTTCCTTTTGAGTAACCTTCTTAAAAAACGTTTTATGAACATTCTCCTAACAAAGGCTTATGAAGGTATTATATAAAGCATCTGCTTTGTTGTACTCATGGTTTTCTAAACTTCTTGGACAAACTTCTTTTGAGAAATACCTACAAGCATCTTGTAGAATGAATGTTAACAAAACATATTTTTGGAAAGCACTGTTGTTTAAAGAACAACAGGAGTAGGAGAACTATTATAACTACATGCAAAACAAAAAAAACCACACAAAAAGCAGTGTTTCAATAATACTTCAATACTCAAATTTAAAAAAACTCATTAAAAGTCACTAGAAAAGTGAACTTGTGAGCAAGCAATATTATGATTATAGTTTTGAATGAAAATGTAATACAGGCTTCCCAGTTTCCCTCACTATCCAGAAGTAGAGTCTCGTTCCTATGAGACCTTGCCTAAGCTGAAACGGCAAAAAGCACAGAAGCAGTTCCCACTCATTTATATGGAAGCAATTTTTAGGGTTCCTAGAACCAAAATCAACCTGTCTCAGGATTTTCTGACACGTTAGGACACCTCGTGCTAGCCAATGCACAAAATAACCAAGATAAATCACAGACTCTCAAAGCCATGGTGGCTGATGCGGAAATGCTGAGTCCGGTTCTTGCGGGAGGGGCTGGGTGGGGTGGGGGGCACTGTCACTGCTCCGGGAATGCACTGCTTCTGTAATGACTCACTGCCAAACAAACACTAAACGCAAGTTGCATTTTTTTTTGCCTTTTTTTGTAAAAAAGACAATCTTTGGATTTCCTTCACTTAGTGAAAACAGGTGCTAATGCAGGTCTTTCATAAGAGCAAAGTGATAGAAATCAAACTTAACGAAATACGAGCAATACCCAAATATAAAGATCTCTTCATATACTTTATTCTCTTCTTAGAATGATAACATGATAAAAATAGTTTTTCTTTTTTAAATTTACACTTGGATTTACCATACTGAGTACAAACAGTACTTAAAAAATTAAGAAACTACAATACTGAATTTGTGATGCTGTGAAATTACACACCAGGCCAATATTCTTCCATTGATTTTCATTCTGTGACCTAGTAAAATAGTTCAGATTGAAAAAAATCGCTTTTCTTCTAAATTCTCATGATTGAAATACAGATGTTCCATGAGCATATTGCCCTAAATTCTTTTGGAGTTTGAAATTTTCCCAGGATCTCCACCAGAGTCATGCTTACTTCATTCAGAATAAAGATGTTTGAATACATCAACTGCAACTCTAGGAGGAACTGAGAGTCTGACACCTGCAACACAATGATTTCTGCACAAAGAGATTTTAGATATGTATTGACCATCATCCCAATAACAGAAACTTTTGCTTTCTCATGATGAGTCCTTCTAACCTGCAAATTGTTCCTGGTTTATTACACAAGTGAGGAGAGACTTTTGCTTCTCTTCACCCTGCTTTGTGTTCCTGCCCCTTGGGCTAGCTGGGCTCTTCTGATCACTTTACCCCTCCAATACCCACCCATGGGCTCCAGCTTCCACTCTCATCTCTGCTCACCTGAGTCCTCCTGCGTATCTCCCTGCCAGCTCATTCCTCTAGGACAGAGCTTGCCTCTCATTAAATGTCTTGTACCTACAGTGTCTCAGATCACAAGTACAAGAGTAAATTAATAATATTAACTGGGGTCGATTTTAAAGGAACATTGGTTTAAAAAAACATGATTAATAACACTGCACTATTTGCAATAGCCAAGACAAGGAAGCAAACTAGGTGTCCATCAATAGATGAATGGATAAAGAAGATGTGGTACATATACACAATGGAATACTATTCCCCCATAAAAAGAAAAGAAATCATGCCATTTGTAACAACATGGATATATCTAGAGGGTATTACGCTCAGTGAAATAAGCCAGGTGGAGAAAGACAAATACCCTATGATTTCACTTATTTGTGGAATATAAAAACAAAGCAAAACAGAAGGAACAAAACAGCAGTAGACTCATAGACACTGAGAAGTGACTAGTGATTACCAAGGGGGAGGGGAAGGAGCAGGTTGGGGGGATAAAGAGACACAATAATTCATAATCACAATATAAGTTGGTCACAGGGATGGTAGTACAGCATGGAGAACATAGTCAATGATTTTGTAACATCTTTCTATGTTAATAGATAGTAACTTCACTAGAGGGGGTGAGGATTTAATAATGTGGGTAACTATTGAATCACTGTGTTGTATATTTGACCCAACATCACATTGTGCATCAGTGATAGGTCAATTTAAATAAATAAATATGCAAGATAAATAAAGCTAAAAAGAAAAAATAAAGGGCTAGAGCTTGAGGGGAACTATGTACGCTTACCTGCCAACTAATTTAAACTCTCTAAGAATCATCAACACATATTTTAATTTGTCTTTCCTTAGCAATGATCTCTTGGCATTTGCCCACCATGATACATTTTGCCTGGAGATTTTGATAAAAAATACCCAACAGAAAAGGACTCAATTCCGTTTCTTATGTCTCCTTCTTAGCACTTCTATTAGGGCTTCTCCCTGGCCAACAGGTTCAGATGTTTTGCCTAGCCTAGTGACAATCAAAGGTTGGTGTGGGGAACCCTAGAAAAGGGGAAGCTGAAGCTCTTGCAGGAGACCATGAAGTCAAGACTATTTTCATAATAATATTAAAATGATCATCATTAACTGCTTTTTTTCTCTCACATTTTTTCATGAGCTCACATTTGGAAACCCACCACAGGTTTCTATCAATAGAAATCTCTGATGGTAGGAACCAGTGGTCCAGGTTCAATTAATGGAAGTTGCCAGGCAATGTGCAACATAATTTCATATATACCAACACTTAATTGTTACCACCACCATAGGAGACAGATACTATATCAGTTTTGCCAATGAGTAAACAAATTCAGAGAGGCAAGTACGTTGGTGATCTGCAGGGCACCATATTTCTCACAGCCAGAATTAGAACCTATGTATTATCACCAATGGTTTTACCCCTAACATTTGCCAGAATAATTACACTATTTTCCTTTTAAGAAAGGGATAGCAGCTATATAAACAACTTTCTCTTTACATCATGTGATAATGAGGTTTCCCTCTAAATTGTGTTATAATACTATGTGAGTCTTTACAGATAGGGAATTGGATGTGGTACCCTTCCGGTTGGTAGAAGCAATAATTTTCTAGTAATTTATGTGCAAGTCACCAATTAGAATACTATCTTCTTCTGATCAGAAGGATTTTTTTTTTAAGAAAGTCAGAATTTCCAAGACTGAATGCTCTCAAAATATGAGGTCCACTCTGTAACACTGGCATCTGGCATATATGCTCAAGTGGGGAATGTCTCTGAATAAGGTTATTTTTACATGGTCTTTGACATTTTAAGAAAGATTGGTGAGAATGCAGTTTTCTCTGCAGGGAGAGATCCTTTGTATAAAGATATTTTTATATCTTGTATACTACTCTCGTAAATGCAATCAGAGGCTGCTAAACAATGGGGCGCCAAAAAACAGACACAAGGTTCAAATGTGCTGTCCAAGCATTTCATGAAGATCAAAAAGCTCAGTGGTATTTTTGCTGGGCTTGTGTTCTATCATATCACAGTGTTTCTACCTTATTGATCATTCATCTGGGCCTGCCAATCAGCCAATATTGGTAAGATGTCTCTAAGACCCCTTCCCCCACAAAAAAAGCAGTTACTGATTACATGGCACCACCCAATAACTGATAAAATCCATTCTCTTTGCTCAGTTGCCCGGCTGCCAATGGACTTCACAGTTGTGTATATTAGCTTGCTAATTAGCCCTTTAATTAGTTTTATCTGCATGGGTAATTATTATTTTAAGGTAGTGATGATTATGGCACCTGTTCTTTGACCATTGCTTTTGTTGACAGTAAGACCTGTTGTACAGATGTTTTTAGCCAGGCACTATGGAAGTCTTCTAATTCTGTATCATGGTTTCCTTTAATAACAAACAAATCTAAAAGGCTTCTATCATATTAGGAATGGATAGCTTGAATTCTCTTTTCTAAAAATGTGCATTACAGAATGCAACAGACCCATTTGAATAACTCACTCTATGGCCTTTATAAGAAAGTTCACTGGGGCCCATTGTTTGGGATATTATTGACTTAACATTCATTAGGAGACTCATAAAAACACTTCCTGCATGTTCGAGGCATGGTGTTTAAGCTGTAAATATGGCAATAGGGGTGTAAATATTGGCTTAGAACTCTTCTTTGAGTCATTGATTTTCTTTATCTTATTGTCTACATGGCCATTCTCTTCTGTTTAGGCTGGCCCTTTCCCAGTCTCCAAATGTGCTTTCTGACTTCCCAGTGGCAGTTTCACTGGGATTCTTCCCAAAAGAGTCAGGGGGCATGGAACTAGGATGATTTTTGTTCTCACTCTGTTCCAGACACTCCGTAGCAGCCGAACATGAAGACGGCACTCCGCTGGGGTGACCTTTGATTCTTGGCACAGGAGAGTGATTTCACTGAGGGAATTCACTCCAGTCGGTGAGTCTCTAGTGTTTGTGGAGATCTCTGTGGAAACAAACATTCAGGGTTCTTTGTGGAATAGTCCAGAAATAATTGAGTAAGCCAAGAGACCCTTACCCCACCCCTTCCTCCCTGTTACACTTTATTTTAAGGACTCCCTCACTGATGCCCTTGTATAAATAATTGCTATTTCCCAGCACTTTCCCTTTTCCTGAGAAAAATACAAAAGAAAGTCAACCAAATCAAGACATAAATTCATTTTTACAGCTGAATAAGCTTTATCTTTGGTTGTTTTAAAAATGAAACAAATGGGAAAATATTTGTTAGAGAATAATAAACACACCCAGGTATTTGCTGCTCTGCTCAGGCCAGGCTAAGATTGAAGTGGCTCCCTAAGACCACCTGTGTTTCTTGGTGCAAGCCCAGCAGAGCTTCAGAATTTGTATAGTTGGTTTCAGTCCAGCGACCTGGCTACATTCTTGGATCTCTTACTCAACATGAGGCATCAAGATCACTGGAAACTTTAACAAAAACATCAACAACTGGAAGAGCCAGTTAGCCTATGGTTTGACCCCCAGCCTTCACACCCTTACATCAATCTATTTCTAATCTTCTGGGAAATTAGTTCAGCCTTCAAGGCAGGGGAAGGGGCAACCTGAGGGTACAGCTGCTAGGTCTCCCATAGGAGATGAAGAATCTACAATCACCCCAAAGCACACATTGAGATGATTGCTTTTTAATCTGCTTTCCACTTGGCCAAGTGGATGCCTCCATAATAACTCTAAAAGCTTCAAAGAAGCAGCAGCACACTCTGTAGCATTCCACGATGGAATCCAATAAAAGAAACAGAACTCAAAAGCATTTCAGAAGCAATTAATAAATTGCTGCTCAGAAGCAGCTCCTCAAGGAAGCTTGCTCTTCAGCTCAAAAATCAAAAACACATCCTAAAAACAGTAGCTGCAGAGGAAGGAAAAAGATAACAAATCTTATTTCCACTTGTCCTTTGGTAGATTTCAAAATCATTTGGCTTTTTCTGAAGCAGCTATTTTGAATGTTTTTAGTCAAGTTCCCAAAGGTCTGCTTAATTTTCCAACCTTTATCTACAGAAGATGACAAAATGGCCATATCAATTTTAATAGTATGAAGAGTGAGCTATAGAATCATCACAACTACTGAGTAAGCCAGTCCTGGTCTCAGAATCCAGTCTTCGGGTACCCATCTGTGTGACCTTGGGCAGGTGATTTAACCCTTGCCAGCTTCAAGGTTCTCACGTAAAAATGAAAAGATAGGATAAGATCCTGGTTCTCCACAGTGACTTTCATGAACACACTGGATTCGTAGGTATTATGTGAAGAAAGAGTTTTACTTTTATTTATGTTTCAGAAATGCTGTTTTAAACAAAATTAAATGACAAGATTCCTTATATCTTTTAATATACTAATTACTATCTAAAATTGGGGAGTTGGAATGTGTAGCAATATCTAAACTTATTTGACCACAGGACCCTTATTCATAGACCATCTTGGGAATAGTATAATCTAAGGTGGCTTCCAGCTGTAACATTCCATTTTTCAATCCAAAGCAGGTAATTGCAAATTGGCATGTACACAAAGGTCATCATCACAGCAATTATTAATCATCATTGAATGATATACTTCACAGGTGGATATGTGGGAACATGGAACAGAGCAGGCATATATAAAATTCTACTAAGTGGGAGGGTTTTCTTTATGTCTACCTATTGTCCTCACCCTCAGGGGGCTGATCTCCCATGCATACATGCACAGCCTTGGTCATAGAGATAAAGTTCCAGACTCATCAAAATGTAAACTGGAATTACTCATCACTGGTATTACTCATTGCACCCTATTACTCTGCTTGCCTTCCCTGTGGGGCAATATAAAGGTCTTAGTAATCGAAAAGCTCTGTTTCTGTACCCAGCATTGTATCTACTACATATATTTTCATTTCTTTTCCAGAAAATAAAATACATTTCATTTTTAAATATTTTAAAACTATAGCCTCAGTTACAAGCTTATACTTTAACTAGAATAGTTTACTCAACCAAATACTCATGTATGACTGACCCATGCTCAATATTGAATTTTGTTTCTCTTTATTATGACTATAACTTAGCATCAAAGGTTAGGAAAGCAAAAATGATAACAAGTATGAAGTTTAGTAAAAATGAATCGTCTTTGTAGTGACAATTTGATTAGTGTGTTTTCCTATCTCAATTGTCTTCTTTTCCCAAAACTGTAGAAGGTATAAAAATGATCTGTGATTACTTCATGCATATGATCAATATAAAGTTAATTAAAATCTTAAGCAAATTAATATGGTAAGTATGTATTTAAACACATAATTATGAATAAAAGTAAATCATAAGCACTTTTCCTTGTCAATAATTACTCACGTACTCCACCTTAGTGATTAAACCCTTGCGTGGTTGTTCCAAAACTTAACACATGGTGGCCCTGAAAATGCTCCTCTCAAACCTCTTATTGCATAGAGTATAATTGACTGACGGCTTCAGCTGCTGCTGTCTGAACTCACCACTGAATTTGAGCAAAGGTCACATTTCCTATAAGCATTCCTAAGAGATGCAGGACTTCTCTGACAGGCAACTTTGGCTTGGAGATTCTTTACCGATCTTGCCAAACTGCTCAACTGCGCCACTCTAAGACTCTTCACCCAGACTTCCTTCCCTCTCTCTTTCACAAAGGTGAGACATGGATTGTAGTGAGATGCTCTCCCTCCCCATTTTCCCTCACTGGAATTTACCCAAATAAATCTCTTGTATTGCTAATTTTATCTTGGCTTCTGTTTTTTGGAGGACCTGAGCTAACAAAAAAGGATTCCCTATTTTTGGACAGTTAGGTCATTTCAAGTCTTTTGCATTTGTTTGTTTTTAGTAAATAGCACGGCAATGAAATTTTTGAGAGATCTGATACATGGTCATTATTAATCAGTTCCATAGTATTTCATCTTAGATATGTAATTACTGGTGACACAGAAAATACATTTTTAGGGCTTTGATACACATTGAAAAATTGGCCTCCAGAAGTTATTCCAACTTATATAAGCAAAACAAATTACTTTTGTCATTTGGATTGTTTATACTTTTCCTTAGAGACTTATAAGAAAGTTTCACATACTAAAGGCAATAATCTTAATGAAATAATTTTAAATGTCAGCAATTATTGACACTTCAATCTCAAGTCAAATAACTGTATTAAGTGAATTCTACCTATTGTAATAAAACTTAACCTCCACCCCCCACCTCACATTCATGGATACACACATAAACTCACAATATCTGGAAAATATTGAACATAGTATTATTAATTGAGCAAGGCAAAATAGAAAAAGGTGTCTCCTGGAAGCATTCTTATAGAGCCAATAATTTTAAGGAGCAGCTCAGTCTCATATTGCTGGTAAATTATCTTGGTGAGCAGCTAACAGAATCTGGCCAGAGATAGCAGAGGAATTTTGTGTGGGCATGTGCATTAGTTTACTTTCCAAAATAATCCCATCTGGATGCATGAGAAATGTTCTATCTGTTTCAGCTCATTAGGAGACAAGATTCAAGCAAACACGCTCATTGATTTAACATGCTGGATCTGTGAGAAATGAGTCATCCATTGCAATTTGCTACGAAGTTTGGAAATGGAAGATGACCCACACACATTTTTTGAGTTGCCGATTAATTTACAGCTTAGAAAACCATAATGTGTTGTTGGCTGTCTCTAAATCAGGCACCTAAAGCAATTAGAAACTTGGGGAGTGGGAGGGAATGAATGGTTTCAAGATCAATTCAAACTTAATTGATTCTTTTACCATTGGAGTCAAAGAGACAACATCACTAATTTTACATAAGAAGATCCTGTACAAAGGTATCTTATGGAACTCTTAGTTTTCTGTACTCTGAGTCTCAACTCAAAAATAGGCTTCAAAAATGTACTTTAAGTAAATAGCTTAGAAGTTGCATCATTTCCACATGCAAACAATGTTTATTCCTTATTCATTTCTATAGACAACTACTGGCCAACTACTGTATTCCCAAGTGAGTAACAAAAATCCTACTAAGCCCACAATGGACTGTACAGGAGCTGTGAGGAGTTACAATGAAGGCATGACTCCCACCCTTAGGGTCTCCCTGGCTAGTAGAAAACAGAAATGAAAATGCCTAAAAACCATTTAGGTCCATTTAAAAGCTCCAAAGTATCAACTTACTTTTAAGGGGCACTAATAGAGAGAGGGAGCTTAGTATTTGCATTACTGCCTGGAGCAAAACAAAGGAAATGAAGCCCTGAGCCTATTAGAAGGACCAATGAAAGATGCAGCCCTTCAGAATGTTACATATTCATTTTCCCCGAAAATACTTGCTATTTTAACTTTCAGTGTATCTCTTGAAGCAATAATCCATGATGATTAGTGTGTTAATATCTTTACAATAAATCTCTCCATTTTGACTCTGATATCTAGACCATTAACAATAGGGCAGATTGTGGTTGTGTATATATGTGTGTGTTATCACTTTAATTGTATGGTGTATACTCCTACTAGGCTTCCTTTCAGTGTAGGTATAATGACACTAATGACTTTATTTAATTTTGAGATATTTTACTCTGTTTATATGTCAAAATGAGACTTCTGCATATCAAGTGTATGCATCAGTTATGCGAGACATGAGAAAATGGCCATGAAGCTTTGCTAGAAAGCTGTAAAATATGTTGCATAGCATGATTCAGTGCCATACTTTTTTTTTTCCAACTAACATTTTTTTTTTTATTAAGGTACCATTGATACACCATTTGCAACAACATGGATGGAGTTAGAGGGTATTATGCTCAGTGAAATAAGTCAGGCAGAGAAAAACAAATACCAAATGATTTCCCTCATTTGTGGAGTATAACAACAAAGCAAAACTGAAGGAACAAAATAGCAGCATATTCACAGACTCCAAGAAGGGACTAGTGGGTACCAAGGGGGAGGGGTGGAGGAGGGCAGGTGAGGAGGGAGGGAGAGGGGGTTGTGGGGTA